GGCCGGCTGGAGGCAGGACGGGCTGGTTAGAAGCGGGTAGGGAGGGGCCTGCGGAGGGCGAGGTGGGGCTGGACCCGGTTCCAAACCCGGTCCTCGGACCCTCCTCCACCGGAGCCCGCGCCCTGGGGATCCGGCGGCCGCAGAGCCTGGCGCACGGGCCCGGGGGTCCGTTGGGCGCACTTTCCGGGGAGAGTTGTGCGGGCAGAGCGATGACCCCTCCCGGGGCGACTCCTGGGGGGCCGCGCAGACCCTTAGGACATTGCCCCTCCAGCCCCCACCACCCAGGCCTGGGGTCCCTCCTGCCTGTATCAGCCGGGCGGTTGCCCCGCTGCGCCCACAGGAAGCGACACACCCACCGCCGGGTAGTGTCCTGGGGGTGGAGGGCCGTCACGAGGAAGAAACAACAGCCAGACCGTGCCCGCCCGCACGGCCTCTGCCCTCCACGCCCCCACCCCGCCCCTCTCGGTTTCCTTGGCCCCCTCCCCTCTACCACCGCTGACCCTAAGGAGTAATGCTCAGAATCTGAGTCAGAGGATGTGAAACAACCAAAGCGGTATTTCTCCTTATCCAATTTGGTGGTGGACTCAGCACAAGAGGGTGGAAGGTCGGTGACTGTTTAGCAGAAACTTTTTTAACGAGAATGATGTTGGGAAGTGCCCTGGTGACTCCCACTCCTGGGCGAAGCAGGGGGCTCGTGCTGGGCAGGTCCTTCCCGGGCACTGGGTGAAGAAGACGTGTTCTGCCGCCAAGGCGCCTGCTCAGCTTTTGTTGGCCCTTTGCCAGGAGCCTGCAGAGTGCAAGGTACTGAACCGGCCCAGAAACCTCCCGGGGCCCCGGTAACGGGGGTAGAGCACCCGGGGAGGCAGACACCACGTCAGGCAGCCTGTAGCAAGTGCCCTTTGCGCAACCAGTGAGCGTACAGAATTCCAAGGAAAAGAGAAATTATTGCCAGCTGGGGTGGACTGAAGTTTTTTGGGTTTGACCGCAATTGCTCAGCGGGAAGCCGCTGAGAGTCTGGGCGGCGGGACGGGGCGGGGCCTGATCGGGGCGGGGCTGGAGAAGGACTCGGCCGGATTTGTTTGCATCTCCCGGGCCCTCCCCTCTTCCCACCCGTCTCCACGCACACCTAGCCGCAGACAGGCGTCTCCTCGGCCAGACAGCTTCCCTGCTCGGTGACTAGTCCCTTTGAAAAGAACGAAGCTACACCCTGCCTGGTGTTTCAGTGGTTGCAAGCCCGCGTGGCGACTGATGGGAGGGGAGCCGCACACTTGAGGCGGAGGATCTGGGTATGCATTCTAACGTCACCACCTGCAGCCTCCACAACCTGGGTAGTTTAGGCGGCATGCCCCTGGGTCTCCGTGTCCTCGCGGAAAGGCTGGGTGAGCCTTCGCAGGGTGGGCCGGTACCACTGCGCGGTGCCTCTCCCCTAAGACAGCGAAGGACCCGGCACATGCCTGTGCGGTTCCCAGCCCAGTGCTGCAAACACAGGATGTGGGCCTGACAGATGTTTGTGGAACAAAAGGACGGAGGAGCGGGTGACCGGGGGAGCGATGGCTCGCGCTACTTGAGGCAGCGACAGACGGAAAGCAGGCGCAGCGCTGACTCTGGCTGCTTGGATTTAGCACCTCAAGACCCGGTGACTGAGTCCCCCCAGATGCAGATCCGTGCTGGAGAAACCGTTCCCTGCGTGGACTCGCCCCCAACTCCTCTCCGGGGCTTTCTAAGCCCAGAGGAAAGCCTGAGTTGGTCAGCGGGAGTTCCCTAGACACCCAAGCTTCTAGACAGGGTGTGTGTTCGTTCGTAACACATCCGTTTTTTCCTGGGCACTTACGGTTTGACTGGAGGTGGAACAGCTGTTGGGTTTCACCCAATCTTCCGGTTGCCAGAAGCTCTCGGCCATGCCCCCCACCCAAGGGTCAAGTTGTGTTCTCTGGGCTCTCCGGCGTGGTGGGTGCACTGGGCCAGCAGGGCTGGGGTCCCTGCTGGCGGCATTAGAGCAGAGTCACAGGCTCCTTGGCAGTCCAGCCCAACAGCTGGCTGCCAGCCTGGGTGCAGAGACTGGGACAGCACCCAGCACCCAGCAGCCCAAGAGGCCTGGCTGGCTTGGGCCTGGGCTCTGGGTGGAGCTTCCCCTCCCAGCCCCTCTGCTGCTGTGAGCTGGTGTTCCATCCACGCAGGGGGTGCCCCTCGCGCCCCAGGGTTGCTGTGAGAGCACATAACACCCTGGGTCAGACGAGGGGCGGCGTGGGGCTGGGTGTGCCTTGGCACCAGCAGTCACCTGCGGCTTTGTGCCAGCCACTGTGCGGGGGTAGCAATCCACCTTCACTCGGAGCTCGACTACCTGCCGGGCCAGCACCGTTGACCCGTTGTAGAGATGGGGTGACTGGCCAAGGTGGAGCAGAGCAGAGATGCGTGTGCGACTTCAGAGCCCACATCTCTCTGTCAGGACTGTGGTGGCTCAGTCTCAGTCCTTCCTTTCCATCTTCTCCGCCCTGATGGAGAACGTGGGCCCACATGTTTTTATCCAGAGGCCGTGTAGCGGTGGTTAAGAGTGTGGTCCTGGAGCAGAACTACATGGCTTTGGGCTTCGGATCTATGGGGCCTTGGGCCACTCAGCTGACCTTCCTGTGCCTCAGCTTTTTCAAGGGTAAAAATGGGATAAGGGACCTACATCATAGGACTGTTGTAAAGGCTAAATGAGGCGGTTTACTGGTGTGATGGAAGGTCTTACAACTTAGCTGGTCACAGAGATGTACTCATTTATAAAAATTCTTCAGACTTTTTAAAATCTGCACATTTTATTATGTACATGTAATATTCAATAACAAAGCAACAAAATATACTGTAAAAAAAAAAAGGTTAAATGAGGTGGGTGTGTGGTGTTATCGTGACGCCCGGCACGGCGAGAGCTCAGCGGGTACTGGCCCGCTGTGTCCTCTTGGTCGAGAACGTTCCTTCGGATTTCTGCCGGGCGCCCTACCTAGTGCTGTTCCCCGGCTCCCAGCTGGCACTCTGACCCTACCACTTTTTAAAATGGGCATTTGAAATAAAGGAATTAGGGCTGATTTGTTGGAAGGGAGTAAGACGAGATCCTAGTGGCTCCAAGGAAGACCCTGGGTGCATGTTTTACACTGTTAAAAACATTACGTTACTGTAAATTCCACACACACGTTAAATAATTGATCATTCCTTCCCTTTCCACTTTTATCTCCCAATATCCTCTCTTATTTCCTTAAAACTGTTCTAACTTTATTTGTTTGTTTTAATTTTATTCTGTTCCCAGCATTGTCTTATTTCCTCCAAGAGCACTTTTTAAATTCAGGGGGTTTTAACCTATTTTTCATACAGGAAACTCTTCTCAAACACCTGGTGCTCTTTGGCTGTCAGAGGACATTCCAAGAACAAGGACATTGGATGCCCGGTGTGCAGGGGGCGTACCCATCGCTGGGCTTCACTGGTGGCCCCAGGCTGATGGTGAACGTGGCCTGTCTGCTGGGTGACTCTTAGTGTCGAGACTGGCAGGGCTTTTCTCTGGGCGTGGCTGCCAGCAGGATGAGATCGGGCAGGGAAGTAGAGGCTCGGGTGCCCCAAATCGCAGGTGCAGCCCTCCCCTGCCCCCCACCTCTCGCCCTTGGCTTTGTCCTCCCTCCCCAGGTACCCGATACCTGGTTCTGAGACGCGTTCTCTGAGCCCGCCCCGCTCCCCAGGTGCCCGCTCCTCCTTGTTGTGTCTTTTAAAAATCTGTCCTCATCTCTTCCAGTGATGTTACCTCTCTGTCCCTGAACATTTATAAAAATTCCCTCCTTCCTATAACTTTGATGTGGTTTGGGGAGGGGAGGAGATGGGCGTACGCCGTCACCACGCCAGGACTCGAAGGGAGTGTCAGGCTCTGTCTTACACGCATGCGTATTCCTCTGCGTCCGTCCCTTGACCCCCAGTAACCAGTGTGTGAACAGCCTGATGTGCACCTGCCACGTGTTTGTGTATGTTCAGTGTATTCACACATGTGTACACATATGCGGAGGGGTTTTTCGTCATTTTTTTCCAGACAAAGTTGGATCATGTAATAAAGGATTCTTTGCAACTTACTCTTCTCACTCATATGCTGGGCATCGCTCCAGGTCGGCAGACCGCTGCGTAACCAAGTCTCTTAGCGTGTGCGCAGTACTCCTGGTGTGGGCAGCAGTCTGTTCAGCCGGCTCGGTCTTGGTGGATGGACACTGAGACTTAAACTCGGGCGCACGTTATTCGGGAATTCCCCGTTTTGTTCACGTACAGCTGATTTACAACACTGCATTAGGTTCAGGTGTACAGCACAGTGATCCGGTGGGGGTTTTTTGCAGATTACATTTCAGCATAGGTTATTACAAGATACTGGCTATAATTCCTTGTGCTATGCAATAAATCCTTGTTGCTTATCTGTTTTAGGTATAGCAGTTTGTGTCTGTTAATTCTGTTCAGTCCTTCCCTCTTGACGGGCATTTAATACCACAGAAAAACAGGGAAAGCTACCCACTTCAGAGCTAGCATAAGTTTAATTCTAAAGCTTGACATAATGTACACAGAAGGAGAAAACGGTGGACCGATCTAACTTATGAACACAGATGCAAACAATTCTGTATTAAAATTAGCAAATTTAACCTATGAACATGCTAGGAAATGCACCGTCGCCAAGCAGGACTGAGTCCAAGAGTGCGGAGTTGGTCCATCATCAGCAAATCGATCGATGCAGTTCATTACACCAGGAAATTAAAGGAGAAAATCTGCGAAGCTTTGTAAATAGACACGAGATATTTGACGAAGTTCAGAGGCTGTTTTAATTAAAACGATAAGCAAAATGGTAATAGAAGGAAAATGCGCGTGTACAGCGATGGGTCTCAAAGACCAAGACCTCGAACAGTGCCAAGTGGGGAGCCAGACGGGGAGCCGTCTGCGTCGGACACAGGGGTTAGAGGACAGGCGCCCCCGCTGCCTGCGTTCCCAGACCCTCCCAGCTCCCCTCGGTCACGCGAAGGCCAGAGCCTTCTGTCCTGCTCGCCATTCTGCGGTGGTCCTGGAGGAGCTACTGGTGGGTAACAGGGAGTTGCCCAAAGCGGGCATCAGTTTCCTTTTCTGCAAGAGCTCCCATCTCAGGGCGAAAGAACCGGTTTCTGTCCCCCGCGCGCCGGTCCACTCTGTCCTCTCCAGGAGGGGGAGGAATGAGGCGCTGGTGGGAGCTCATCCCCCTCCTCCCAGGAAACAGTGGCCCTCGTAGAGAGAGCGGAGCAGCTGGACGGGTGGCTGGACGTGTGCCCGGCGGGGCCGAGACAGCGAGTGAGAATCATCACCAGGAGCTGGACGGGGTGCAGAAGGTCTGGACCCCGGGGGCTCATGAATGACGTCCCAGAGGGGCAGGGTAGGGCGGCCCGGCATGGCTGGGCTGGCCCTGGAGCGAGCACGAGTATGCCACCAGCACCCAGCCTGTGAGTGAGGCCTGGCGGCATCCTGGCTCCTCCTCTGCCTCCTGCTCCGTGGGGCGCTGTCTGCACACACGCTGAGCCCCTCTGCCGTCCTCGGAACCGTCACTCTGGCCGCCTTGACTTGGCCCCACGGGAGGTGCTTGGTCCCTGTGCCCCCGAGTTGTCGCCTTGCTCCCCGCCAAACCTGAGTGTGCGGGGGCCCCCCTACGACGAGCACTCCCTTCACGAGGTGCTCCCTGCACCCCAGCCGCAAAGCGGGCAGCCGGGGGTTACAGAGCAGCCTCCGTGTCAGACACTGGGCGAGGCCGTCTCCGTCCCGGCAGTGAGCTGGCCCCCCATGCCCCGGGGCCTGCGGGACTCCTGGTCCTCTTCCTGGGCTTCTGGCGGGCTGCCTGTCTGACAGGGCAGCAGCTCGCTCGGGTGCGTCACTAACACACGTTCCATTGCTCGGGATACGGGTGGTACGGCTGCGCTGGACGCGAACGCGAGGCTCCGTGGCTGGGGTCTCTGCTCGTGTCTCTGTCGGTTGATTCCCAGCGGTGCTCTGGGGCTGGCGTCAGGGCTGTGACTCTGCACCTGCAGACGTCCAGGCTGGGCGGGGTCGGGTGTGTCGCCTGGTGTCCCGTGGCTGGTAAGTGGTGAGGAGGCGACCTGCCCCGGGGGGGCGCTGTTCTCCAGCGTAGAGTTCCCTGGCCGAAGGTGTCCCTGTGCTTGTAATGGGGACTTCTGAACGCGGCCCAGATCTCCCCCGGGGGTCAGAGAGCCAGGGGGACTGCCGGAGTGTGAGGCAGCCCCAAGGGAGTCCATAATCGCGGGTGAGATGTTATCTGTAAAGTCTGTGCCCACGGGGTGAGTTTTCTGTGACTGATCCTGTGACCCGGGGGGTGGGGGGGAGTGGCAGGTTTTGTCCCCGTCTTGTTGCCCAGAAGCCTCAAGAGATTTGGGGGTGTTTCTGGGGTGCCCAGGGGAAACCTCAGTGTCTGGAGGTAGACAGTCCCTGACTCCCAGCATCTCCTCCAGTCCCACTCTGCCTGTGCTGTGCCCACTTCTCACCCGCTTCCCCTCGGTCGGCAGAAAGCATGAGGAGGGTGTGGTCCCTCCAAGTGGGGCCCCCAAAGGCGAGAGGGAGGGGGTGACCCTGGGGACGCCGGAGCCCGGCCCACGTGCGGAAGCTCTTTGCCGACGGTGACCGCCCGCATCTTCCCCCCACAGGAGCTCAGCTGCATCGTCAAGAACAGTAAGTCCTCTGTGCTCGTGCTCCTCGGCTGCCTGGGTGATGAAGTGCTGACCCCGCGCTGAGTGGCCCCCAGCAGGAGGACCCCGGGGGCTTGGCCACGAGCCCCCACGCCCCCGCCCAGAACGCTCGCCATCGGCCGTCAGGACGGGAGGAGCCGGGCTGTCACTTGAGTTGGGGGAGTTTCCTGGGGTGCTGCCCTGGTGACTCTGTAAGACAACTCTGCTGGAGCTGTCGCTGTGCCGGGGGAGACGGCCATGCTGGCGGCTTTGTTTGGCCTTTTAATCAAGAAAGATGTGCGGGTCGGGTGTCTGTGCCGGTTAGGGGTCCCGCCTATAAAAACAGCCGCCCTCCGGCTGCCTCCCGCCTCCCAGCGAGGGTGCGCTCGGCCACCTCCCCTTGAGCTTCCTTGTGACCCAGACCAGCATCGGGAAAGCGGGCGGGGGTGAGGCTGAGAGGCCGGCGCGCCTGGCCCCGGCCTGCCTGGGGAGGCCTGGCTCCCCGGCCGGGGCGTCTTGCTTGTGCACCGCATCCCATTCCTCCCGAGCCTGTGAGTCTGACTTGTGCTCTTCCTGGCCCAGGTACCTGCCTGGATGACAGCTGGATCCAACCCCGAAGCCTGACCCCCTCGTCCCCCAAAGACGTGCAGACCCAGCTGCGCTTTGTGCACACGCAGCATGGACACCTCCTGCCCGTGGTCCACATTGAGTGGACGCTGCAGACAGATGGTGAGCGGGCACCCCTGGGCCCTGGGGGTGCTGCGCTGCCCAGCACCGGGGCCTCCACAGGCGAGACCCTCCGGCCCGCACGAGGCTCAGGACTGGGCTCAGACGTGAGGGTCCAGGCTTAGCGACAGGGGCCACCCCCTCACGCGAACCCTTTGTCAGGGGTTTTGACTTTGCCCCGTGATGATATCTTCTCATCCCACGATCCTTCAGGAAAGGCCTTCCTTTGGCCTAAAATCTTTATCTCCCTGGAAAAAGAAGTCAGATGGTGAATTCTCTGACCGCAGGGCCGGCCCTTCTGAGAACAGCACCCCAAACCTCTCCAGGGATAGACTTTATGCAAAACTGGGGGACCAGGCCACCCCAGATCTGTGGATGGGCAGAGGGTGGTGTTCTCTGAGGCTCCAGCCCCACCGACCGCTGCGTCCCCTTCAAGGACAGTGATGCCCGCTGGATGCCCACACCACGCTGCCAGCACCCTAGCCACACATTTGCAAAGCTTTTGCTTCTAGCCCAGAGTAAATTACACTGTGCGAGTCCAGCTGGGGTCACTGTGTGCTGGCCATAGTGAAGCCAGCCCAGGAGGGAGGTGGAGGGAACAGGCCGGGGCTGAGGTCAGAGGGGCGGCGTGGCAGACAGAGAAGTGACACCCCCTCACCCCGTGTGCCTCCTCTCCTCTCTCTGACCGTCAGCCAGTGTCCTCTACCTGGAGGGGGCGGAGCTGTCTGTCCTGCAGCTGAACACCAATGAACGTCTGTGTGTCAAGTTCGAGTTTCTGTCCAAACTGAGGCACCATCACAAGCGGGTGAGGCTCCGGCCGCGGGGAGGACGGTGATGCGGGAGGAGCAGAGTGGCCCCGACGGCTCCTGCGCTGCCTGCCTTCGGGCCGCAGGTAGCTGTCTGTTGTAGGGAAAGCTGAATGGGAAGGCGGCTCCCAGGACCTACTTTGCCACCCTTGTGTGTAGCTGGGTTAGTCCGAGGCCCCTCTGGGGGAAGGGCTCGGCCCCCCGCCAGGGCTGCGGTGTTTCTGCGGTGGTTTCCCTCTCATTTAGTTTGGGTGGAGCCCCGGTTCTTGCAGGGTAGTCCCGGCACCAGCAGCACCACCTGGGGGCTCGTCTGAGTGCTGGTTCTAGGGCCCCGCCCAGACCTCGGGGATCAGAGCCTGAGGGTGTGTATACACAGCAGCTGGTGTTAACCAGCCTTCCGCGGGGTCCTGACGCTGGCCGTCTGAATGCTGGCAGTTTAGGTCTGGAAAGTGGCCGTTTGCAGCACCCCCACAAACAGCAAAGACAGACCCCTGCCCCCTGTTTCACTGGGACTCCCCAGACTTGACCGCTGGGAGGAGGGCGAGGACCAGGGGCCTCCCATCCACCAGAGTAACTGGAGCGGGGGTTGGCGTCGATGGGGTCACCTGCATCACCCAGAACATATCTGAGCAAGAGATGCCTTCAGGCCCGGGGTGGGCGGGGACCCCTTCACCCTCCCACTGCACTTCTGTGCTCCAGGACAGCCTCAAGAGACCCCGGCCTTCCCATTTAAGGAGGAGGGGTCACCCGACAAATAGCATGCTGCCCTGCATGTGGCAGCCCTGCAGGCCCCAGTCCCTCAGGCTGAGGGGGAGGGCCCCTCCGACTTCCCCAGACCTGCGTGCTTTCAGCCCTGTCGTCTCTGCACGAGGCCAGTGGTCGTTCCTTTTTTAAATAGGCAGGAAAGACCAGAGGAAACAGAGAAACAATGCCTCTGATTTCGGATCTCATGGTGGCGGTTTTCTCCTCATTTTGACTGACCTGTGGGCCCGGGTGGGTGAGAGGCCTGGCCTGTCTGACCCCTCTTCCCTCCGTGTCCTCAGTGGCGTTTTGCCTTCAGCCACTTCGTGGTGGAGCCGGGCCAGGAGTACGAGGTGACTGTCCACCACCTGCCTAAGCCCATCCCTGACGGGGACCCGAACCACCAGTCCAGACACTTCTTGGTGCCCGGTAAGCACGTCCCCTCCACCATGAGCTGGGGAGGAAGCCGCCAGGGGGTGCAGACGTCGCCTCCCCGCTCTGACATGTGGTCCCCACGGGGCCAGGGCTGTCTGGGGAGTGGCTGCAGCCTCTGCTCCCCGAGGGCTGAACCAGTTCTCCGTTGCACAAACAGTGGGTATTGGCCCAAGACCTCAGGAGTTTTCCAGGAGCCAGGGTCCCTCCCCCTGGCTGAAGACAACCCCGGCCTGCCCAGGAAGTACCAGGAAGAGCTGTAACCCTCTCTGGTCACCTCATCCTCACCCCACACCCCACCTGCATCATCTGACACCACCCCTCTTCCCACTAACCCACCCTGCTGTAAGGACCCCCAGGTTCACCTCCCAAAACTTCATTTGGTGTGTGTACTCCAACTACTTCTCCATCCTCCCTGGAATCCTGGCCACAACGTGTCCCATGGTTCACAGCCACCCACTCCTGGGACCCCGGCCCCTGGAGGACAGGGTCTGCGCCTTCCACCTGGCCAGCCCCCAGACCCTCGCAGATTGCCTGCACGTAGTAGGTGATGGAAGTGCTTACTGGGGACAGTGACAGCCTTCATCCCCAGAGCGCCCCGCTGCGTGAACACACACACACACACACGCGTGCACGCACGCCGTCTACTCACCCGGCTTTCCCTGGAGGAGTGGTCAGTGGCATCAAACCACTGGGAACTTGTCAGAAATGCAGCTTCCCAGGACCGGCCCCAGATAGGCTGAATCAGAAGCTCCTCATGAGGACGCAGGAAGTTGCAGGAAAGCTGCTATGGGGGCCCAGAGCCCATCTCCCTGGAAAGGCAGAGGCAGCTCTGGAGCACCAGCCCGGCAGGGAGAGAAGGAGCTGGGGTGGGCCGAGACGCCTCGGTCCCAAAGCAAGTGGGGTGGGGGAGTGGGGGTTTACACCTGGACCTGGAAGGTTCCAGGAGAGAGGAGGGGTGAGACAGCTGGGTCAGTCCCAGGCCTGTGGGGCCCCTGGCCCGTGGCAGCGTCCAGTCCTGGGGCTTTGAACAGGCTCCCTAGAAGGGAGAAGGTGGTTACCTGTGGTGTCAGAGTTTCTGCACGAGCAGACTTTCTAAGGCAGGAGCATAATGGTTTCACTTTTTTCTGGGTGGGCAGACTGCGAGGACCCCAGGATGAAGATCGCCACGCCATGCGTGAGCTCAGGTAAGCGTGGCCGGAGGCCCCGTGGGGGTCTTGACTTGGGTGTATGCACGCAGACACACACATGCATGTGCACACACGGGCACAGGCACACACGTGCGTGCACACACGTGCACTGTGCGCCCCACCCTCACTCCCGGACCCTGCCGTGCCCGCAGGCAGCCTGTGGGACCCCGACATCGCCGTGGAGGCCCTGGAGGCCCGGCAGCTGCGGGTGAGCTTCACCCTGTGGAACGAGTCCACCGGTTACCAGGTCCTAGTGAGCAGCTTTCCGCGCGCGGATGACCAGAGCTGCTTCCAACGTGTCCTGGACGTGCCTGCGGTAACCGTGCTTTCTCTGCCGTTTCTCACCCTCCCGCCCAGCTCAGAACCAGCTCTCCAGGCCTCGAGGCCCCCCCCCTCCCCCCGCGCTCGGCCTGTGCTGGGTGTGCCACTGGGCCGCCGCCCCCCGCCCCACATCCGGGGCTGGAGCCGGTGCCGAGCTGCTCCTGCTGCTGATGGGCACAGCTGCCTCCGTCCCTCCCCATCCTGCGTCCCCCTCCCACACGTTCTCCTGCTTCTCTTTTTGTTTCGCTTTGTCAATTCCACTACTGCAAAAAGAGTTTGAAGATTTAAAACTGGAAACGAAGACAAAGGGGAAGTAAAGATGAGGAAATGAGATGAAGCCTGGGCGGGACACCCAGGTCTGTCTCCGTGATGCCTGGCAGGCAAAGCAGAGAGGCATGTCGGGGCGCTAGATGTGTCCCCAAGTTAACAAACCGTGGCCCTGGGGATCGTTCCTCCTGGACAGCCTTTCCCCATGGCCTTCCAGGCGGCAGCAGCCATGGGGGCTTCCCGAGGTGGATCCCTCCCAGCTGAGGCAAGAGCCTTACCTGCCCCTCTCCCCTCAGCCCCCACAAGAGGCATTCCACCAGCGCTCCAACGTCACAGTCACCCTACAGAACTTGAACTGGTGCTGTCACCACCATGTGCAGGTGGGGAGCGGGTGTAGACGGGTTCAGGGAGCGGGTGTAGACAGGAGCCGGGAGCGGGTGAAGACGAGTGCGGCCAGCGGGCACAGGTGGCAGCTCGTGGGCTCGTGCTCTCCCCCAGGGCCCAGCGCCACTGCCACCCAGGGTTCCCTGCCGGGCCCCAGCCTCACCTGAGCAGAGTCCCCTGACCCCCCCACCACTGATGGGCCACCTGCCCAGCGGCCACCGGGGTCCCAGACGGGCGGGCCAGGATCTGCTCCCTCAAGTGCATCCCCCGCCCTCCCCTCCGCCCCCATAGGTCCAGCCCTTCTTCAGCAGCTGCCTCAATGACTGCCTCCGACACTCAATGACCGTCCCCTGCCCAGAGGGGCGGCACACCCCAGGTAGGGTGGAGGTCAACAGCTCGAGCCCTGACCTGGTCCTGGGGGTGGGTGGGGGCTTCAGAGAGTCTCCTGGGTTGGACTCCCGACTGCCTGTCATTAGCTGTGCAGCCTTGGGCAAAGTGCTTACCCTGTCTGATCCTCAGCTTCCATGACTGAAAAAATAGGGGTTCTTACTGTCACAGTTACAGTTAAGGACCATGTTCTGAACTAAGTGCTTTAACGTGTCCGTTTTTAATCCTCACAAACTGAGTCATAGTACTGTGTACTAAGCACTGTGTACTAGGTACCATGCACCTAGCACTGTGTGCTATATGCTGTGTACTAAGTACTATGTAACAAGTACCATGAAGTGGAGACTCCCTCCACTGGGTTCATAGGTGAGGAAACTGAGGCACAGAGACGTCAGGTACCGTGTCCAAGATCACCCACCAGGGAAGTGACAGAGCCCGGGTTCTGGCCCGAGCCTGCGGTGCTGGCAACAACTCCCCATTCAGAAGCCATCGGCAGCCCACATGTGGCTACAGCCAAATGCTGATCAGAAAGCACAGGCGCTGCCCTGGCCTGGACGAGCCTCCCAGAGGCACAGGCCTCTCTGCAGACCACCAGCTCAGGGGTTCCCTTAGATCGTTTCACTAAGTTTAACCCGTACCAAAGGGCCAGGTATCAGGCCAGGGTCACAGCAGGCTCTGTGCATGTCAGTGGTGGGTTGTGATTACTGCTGATAACTGAGGCTGTTCCCCTTGATTCTCATTGCAGACACGATTGAAGGTACGCCCACCTCCTTCCCAGGCTGTGCTGCAGGGGCCCCCAGGGACATGCCCTCAGGGGCCACAGAGAAGTCCCTGCCTGGCCTGATGTGGATCCAGGCAGAAGGCTGCAGCAAGAGGCAGCCCAGGGTGGTGGGATCATTGCCTGTCCTGGTGCCAGAGAGGACACCCGGAGCTGGGCACTGGGGTGGGGCCCCCAGGGCTGGCGTCTCAGAGAGGACACCTGGGGCTGGGCAGTGGGGTGGGGCCTCCAGGGCTGGTGTGACAGAGAGGACACCCAGGGCTGGGCAGCTGGCCTCCCTGCCACGCCGCTGACGCATTCTCCCCGCCACAGACTACCTGCCCCTGTGGGTGTACGGCTTCATCACGGGCCTCTCCATCCTGCTGGTGGGTTCCGTCATCCTGCTGATCGTCTGCATGACCTGGCGGCTACCCGGTAAGGGGCTGGGGCTTCCCCTCTACCCCTCTCCTTCTTCCTGTGCCCCTTCAACCCACTCCAGCGCTAAGGCTGTGCTCAGGGCTCCCCACGTCGAGCACAGACGCTGTCCCTCGTGGGCCACACCTCAGCTTGGCTGCCGAGGGCTCAGAGGCTGCAGGGGGCCGACCTGGGCCCAGGCCCTAGCTCGCCATCTGCACCTGGGCAAATGATTCCTGGGCCTCGCGTCCTCTTTTATAAAATGGAAGTCATCACAACACCCACACGGTAAATCGACTGTAAGGATCGTGGGAAGTCTTAGCAAAGAGCCTGGCCTGTTAACTCTCCCGGGTCACAGAGCAGTCGCGGGAGACGTGGCTTCACGGCTGAGTACGGTCTCCCTGCAAAGGCCCAGGGCATCCGGTGACCGGGGCCTCGGCGCCTCCTTTGTCAGGAGCGGGGCAGCACTCCCACCAGACGCCCCTGCAAGCCGGTCCCTATTTCTCAGAAGAGCCGTTCTGAGACGTCTTGTAGGATTTCTGCCCCCTGCAAGGACACTTCTGGAATATTCTGGTATTGTCTTTCTTTCAGGCTCCCACCACGGCAAGTATGAAGATGGCAGCAAATGCACAGGTGGGCGGCTCCAGGCTGGGCGGGCTGGGCGTGGGGGGAGTCCATTCCCTGAGGCCTGGGGGTGGCGCTTGTGGGATGCACGGCGGGCCAGCTCCTGTTCCCGGGGAGACGTCACCTGCAGACAGTCCACCACTAGCCCCGAACAGAGGACAGAGGGGCCCACGCAGCAGGGCTGTGCTTGCAGTCGCTCATCGCTGAGCCAGCAGAGGAAGGTGAGGGCACCGTGTGGCCCCTCCTGCAGCAGCTACTTCTATTCCATAGGCGGGCCCTCGTGCCTTTTAAGGAAAAAAAGGAATTTTAATTAACTTGTAGGCTGAGGAGCAGATGAGAAAGCACAAGGTTCTTTTCCCCGAGGCACAGCTGTTTTCCAGGCACCACAGGTGAACAGCCACCCTGGGCTCATCCCAAGGCCTCAGCTGCGTTTCTTGGGCTCAGGAGCCCAGCTCTGCCTGATCCTAGCCTCCCCGGCGGGCCAGCTGAGGCCATCCCTGGCCTGAGTCGTGCAGGCCAGTGTGGTAGACGTGCCTGGACCCGTGACCCAGCTTCCTCTGTTTCCCCCAGATGTCCTCCCCGCTGCCAGCCTGAGCCCCCCACCCCTGAAGCCCAGGAAGGTCTGGATCGTGTACTCGGCCGACCACCCCCTCTACGTGGATGTGGTCCTGAAGTTCGCCCAGTTCCTGCTCACCGTCTGTGGCACCGACGTGGCCCTAGACCTGCTGGAGGAACAGGTCATCTCTGAGGTGGGGGTCATGACCTGGGTGGGCCGCCAGAAGCAGGAAATGGTGGAGAGCAACTCCAAGATCATCGTCCTGTGCTCCCGGGGTACCCGAGCCAAGTGGCAGGCCATCCTCGGCTGGGAGGATGCGGCCATCCAGCTCCGCTGTGACTGCGGGAAGCCCTCGGGGGACCTGTTCACGGCAGCCATGAACATGATCCTGCCGGACTTCAAGCAGCCCGCCTGCTTCGGCACCTACATCGTCTGCTACTTCAGCGACATCAGCAGTGAGAGCGACGTCCCTGACCTCTTCAACATCACCTCCAGGTACCCGCTCATGGACAAGTTCGAGGAGGTCTACTTCCGTATCCAGGACCTGGAGATGTTTGAGCCGGGCCGCATGCACCGCGTGGGGGCGCTCACGGGCGACAACTACCTGCGGAGCCCCAGCGGCCAGCAGCTCAGGGACGCCGTGCAGCGCTTTCACCAGTGGCAGGCTCGGTGCCCAGACTGGTTTGAGCTCGAGAACCTCCGCTGGGCAGATGACCAAGACCTGCCGTCCCTGGATGAGGAGGAGCTGGAGGAGCCGCTGCTGCCACCGCCTGGAGTGGGGATCATCCGGCAAAAGCCGCAGGTGCGGGAGCCCACCTGCGAGGGCCCCCTGGCGGTGGAGCTGCTCCTCGCCGGGGAAGGGGGCGGCCTGTCAAGGCTGGAACCCCGGCCTCGGTCCCCGGGGGAGCCGGCGGCCCAGATGCTGCAGACGACAGTGGTCCCGGTGGAGAGGGCCCCTCCCGCTCAGGTTGTGGAGCCAATCCCC